CTGTGCAGCGTGTAATGGAAATACTGATTTAAACATATTGATGTTCATAACTGCCAGCAAATATCACAGCCATAATTCAATCATGATCAAGGGATTATTACAGTGAAAAGATTATTCAGTCATGACAAAGATGATAGAGATATAAATGCAAATAAATTAGCAATAAAAACCAGCCTTCTGAATGCTCTGCATTTGCTGAATATAACTCTGAACCACATTTCGGAAACGATGAGAGGAAAACCATTCTCAGCACGCCAACTTTTTAATAAATAATGAAAATGAAACGAAAATTGAAGAACTAAAAACAGTCTCCAATTGATATGAATTGTGATGAATTTAAATCTTGGATATTAATGAAAAAGTTTTACTATATTACTAATGGAAGATGATACTAGTTCTTTTCTGAAACAAATTCAAAAAAATTATGTGATAAACTTTCTGAAGAAAAAAGATGATGAAATTGGTGAATTTCCTATAAATAATGAGATGAGGAATGCACTATGTGTATTAAGATCACGGTTACAGTAATGATCAAATAAATTCCAGAAACATTATGAACAGTTCATAAATTAACTTTTGCATAACAGTTACAGATAATCACTGATGACTTTTTTCCTAATTAAAATGCTGTGACAGTAAGCATTTATATATTTCTGATAATAGTTAGATTAGATTAGTTAAATTCCATTGATACCTTGAAGGATATATTTCTCACCACCTAATGTTATTATTCAGTTAATGTTTTAAAATAGTCATGGACAAACATTAGTGCAAATCACATGAAGCAACTTCTACTGTAGAAAACTGAAAAGTAAAGTTTATGTTATTCAACACATTAAAAAAAGATAAATTCAATAAGCAAGCATGGTAAGATTCAGCCAGCTTACACCATTTTGGCAGAATTGCTTTTTAGAATATTTTTAATTGAGTGAAATAGTTGTTAAAATTGAACTGTAATATTTATTTTGGAAATGTATTGCTATTTAATATCTAATCTTATTCCTTATTTAGAAAGCAAACTGATTTTTAAAATTTTTGAATCCCATCGTTGGTAGCGATAGTAGTAAGTAAGTGTCATTTCTTTAGTCTAGTACCATGAACCAACTGTAAAAATTATAACACAGAAGTACTGAAATTCAGAAGCAATTATCCGAAGACTTTCAGAATTGGAGACATAAATTTAAATTGTTAGTCATGGTAGGCCACAGACAAAAAGACATGTTCTCGTAAGAGTGACTGCCACTTCAGATCTAAAAACTTTTTCCTAAATTCTTTTAATGTAAGAACTATTAACCTTACTTTCAAAACAGAACACCTTTTATTAGTGGAAAAAAGGGATGCTCATTAAATTGATACTTTTTCAAAAATTTCCAAAAAATAATTCTTGTGTGGTTGTTAGAAACAGATTCTTACAAACATCTTTATAACAACCATATATGCTCAAAGCAATCAAGAAAAGAGTTCATGAATAAAATTGCAAAGATTTGTTGGAATCACAAGTACAAAAGTATATTCTTCTAATAAATTTTTCAAAAACTTTGGGTTTTCAGGGCAATATCTTAATATGACTGAAGATTAAAAACATATATATTCCAATACAGAAAATAAAATCTACACTCATGTCCATAAATTAAGGATAATTCGGAGTCACGAGGAAATCGAACTCTAAAATAAATATATCACCTTTAAAATCACTACACACATCTTCAAGAATCATATGCAAATTTCAGGAAGTAACCAGATGACACCAATGGTACGTCACAATGATGAGAGTGTAAGAGAGTGATATATAAGGAATACAGGCAAAGAAGTAAAATTATTTGCAGGCATTTTATAAGCATTTCAGTGCAATGACCGAATAGTTATGACACAAAGGATGCATTTGGATGATTTTTTACGTGGTAGAATTATCGGCCGTCTGAAATGTGGGCGTACCCAACTGGAAGTATCAGACAAACTCGTAATTGCCCAGAGTGTCATCTCCAGGCTTTGACAACGATTCCAAGATGATGGTAATGTGAGTAGACGTTACAGCACAGGTCGCCCCAGAGTTACAACGCTGAATGAGGACCGGTATTTGGCAGTTAATGCCAAAAGAAACAGGTGAGAACAGCCTCAGACCTATCTCATCAGCTCTCTTCAGCCACTAGTACGACAATTTCAAGGCAGACCGTGTACAGATGCTTAGGGCAGATTGGTCTATATGCTCGTAGACCTGTCAGATGCATCTACTTACTGCAACTCACTGTTGCCTGCAGTTAGCCTGGAGTAGAGAGCATGCATTGTGGACACCGCAACAGTGGGCTTGTGTGATGTTTTCCGACGAGTCCAGATTTAGCTTGCAGTCTGATTCTCGCTGGACTTTCATATGGAGAGCTCCAGGTACCTGTTACCACCAAGAAAACATCATTGAATGACACCGTTATGGTGGTGCAGGAGTGCTCATTTGGGGTGGAATTATTCTGGGTTCCAGAACTGACCTGCATGTTGAAATTGGAACGATGACAAGCCAAATCTATCAGGACGTCATTCTGGAACAACATGTACGTTTGTTTCGGGGTGGCATGGGAGCACAATTTGTGTTTATGGATGACAACGCCCATCCTCAATGTGCAAACATCGTAAGCGAATGCCTTCAATCGGAGGATATCCCCCATATGGACTGGCCAGCATTCTCACCGGACTTGAATCCAGTACAGCACATGTGAGACATGCTTGGCTGACAATTTGCAGCCCTACATGTCTACCAGAACCTCCTCCTACATGTCTACTGGAACTTCGGAGAGCATTGCTTTTTGAGTGGTGTAATATCCCCCAAGATCTGATCGATAATTTGATACTCAGCATGCCTAGGCATTGTAAGGACTGTATTGCATCGTCTGGGAGACATACAACGTATTAACAATCATACCAACCATATAATTTTGGTTTTTTGTAAATAGGTATTTTTTTTTTATTTGCTCCAGGGAGAAAAAATCGTTAATTTTTTTTAATAATATCAAACATATAGGATCTTTTTTTTTTTTTTTTTTTTTTTTTTTTTGCTCTTTACCTTTTGTTTAATAAATAAGCTTTACAAATAAGTCAAATTTGTTTTGCTTCTAACTCTTCCTTTCCCTGATTTTGCATTATCCTTAATTTATAGAAATGAGTGTATATCAAGATATATATGCTTACAAGAAAGTATCCCTTAATATAATTTAAACTATTTCACTAAAAATAATATAAAAGGAGCCATTAAACTAATCTTTATAAATAATTTTTGTTATAATTTTTTATTGGAAAAATTATGCCTTTCTTTTTTGTTTTTCATTTTACATAACATGCCAGAAATAAAGCTAAATTTGAAAAACAACATACCAATCACAAATGTGTTAATCAGCAGAAAATGGAAAAGTGGAAAAACTTTGCGGATTTTTCCACTTTATCTTAAATAAATATTACCTTAAATACAAATTTCATGAAAGAAACATTTTTCATGTAGCCTGTATCTATAAAATCTTGCAAATGAACATAATTCACGAAAGCTCTGATAATATTTTTGCTATAATTTATATTACAAATCTCAAATCTAAGCCTAGTAAAAACTGATCCATATCCCCCCCCTCTTTATCCTATGTAGTTTATTATATCATACACAAGGGGAAAAAATCTATTGCAGCTATTTTACTATATTTCACAATTAACTATTATATAATTATTCTTATTATCACGCATATTTGGTTACACAAAATAACACAATTCAAAGCAATTATACATAATATGGTTAAGACATTTTACAGAAAAAATTGCATTTTAAGTTATCATAGGAAATTATATTACAGAATTATATTATTTAGACTATCAATGAACCATTTCACAATAAATGCAAATTGCATTTCTGTGTATATTCTGTGAATGGTTTAATGTGCATTATAATGCACTTGTTCCATTTTCTCTAATATCGAACCATTTTTCAAATTTAGCATTAGAATCTAGACACTTTTGTGAAAAACAGTTTCCTTTTTTATTTATCAAAATCTTAAATTTTGATGCATTTCCTTTACATTCCAAACATTAAAAGTACAATATTATGGTATTATATAAATTTTGATAATTAAGAATTAGTCTTATTAACATTAAGATTCATCAAAACATGCATAATATCTAATTAAAATTTATACGGATTTCTGTTAACACACAACAAAATAAAAATAATTTTTAAAAAAATTGAGTTATACAAATAACAACAGATAACAAATAAATGAAGTAAATAATATAAAAATAAAATATAAATACAATAAATAAATAAATGCTATTCATCAAGTTTTAAAAATTACCTTAAATAGAGAAAAAAAACAAACATGGTACTAAAAATAAAAATCATATTCTCTTTTCTCATTTTTCAAAACTTAAAACGATACTTACGTATTACGCAACCAGGCCAAAATTCGCATAAATCGCCAAATTTGGGACCCTACTTACGGCAACCCTACGTGTTTAGACGAAAGTTTATTTGTAAAAAAAAAAAAAAATAACACTGGGCGTGTACTACCACAGCAATGGGTTTTCGGCGGAATTTGCGGAGAAAAGAAAGAGACTTTTTTGGTAACTGTACCTAACAGAAGTGCCGTTACCCTCATGCAAAAAATTTGCGAAAATATCGAGGAAGGAAGCATCATTTATTCGGATTGCTGGAAAGGATACAATACAAGTGAGTTCGAAAATGCTGGATTTCTGCATGGAACTGTTAATCACAAATATAACTTTGTGGATCCCAACACGGGCATTCACACGCAACATGTAGAGCGCATGTGGGGCTCAGCCAAATGGCGCAACAAAAAACAGAGAGGAACAGCCCATCATCATCTTGACTCATACCTTATCGAATTTATATGGCGCCAAGCTCAAGCTGTTAATGGCGAAGACGGTTTTCAATCAGTGCTAAAAGCAATAGCCAAAAGATTTCCGCCGAAAAAATAATTCTGCAACTTAATTCGAAACCAGAAGGGTTTAATTGCTATTTTATATTTTAAAACAAAATAATATAAAAAACTGTATTAAAAATTATCTGTAATTAATAAATGTACATTTTCTTTCTATTCATACTTTTTTACTCAAACTTACAAATTGCGCCAACCTAGTTGCAATAATACGCAAGTACCCTTAAAACAGGCATACATGCAGGCATTTCATACAGGCATAAGAAGATAGTAATAAGTATTTATAAAGTTATCATAACTCATACAAAGCTCTGTGTGAACTAGGTAAAATAAGTAACAATTTATGTGAATGTACAACAATTTATGTGAATGATAAAAATTCACAAATACTTTAAACAGAGCTGAAAACGGAAATATGCTTTGCATTGAAATTGCATTTAATTTCTTAAACATGAATATTGCTAAATACTGTCATCAAGACATTTAAAATATGAAACATCAAGCTATAAAATTCTTCTCTGCAATTAATGGTTTCAAAATGCAGCATTTCACATGGTAGCTTGAGCAATTTTCAATGACTGCAAGAGAAAAATTAATACTTTAGAAATTATAGTTTCAGTGTTAACAATATAATAATTAAACACATAACTTCAACTAAATTAAATGTTTTAAAATAGATGAATAAAAAATTTTAAATAGAGTGGAACCTTGGTTTACGAACTTAAATTTATTCCTAAAGATAATTCAGCTCAACAGCGGCCAAGTGGTAAAGTCTCTGAACACTGATAGTTCGGTCCTGGGTTCGAATCCCAGAAACAGGCTGGCTGGATGGCTGTTTTAATGGATTTTCAAGTGTGAAATGTGTATACAAGCCAATTTTTCTTAAAAAGTCCTCCACGAAGGCATCTCTCCCCTTAAGCAAATAGGCCTTAAGGCTCATTACATATAATAAAAGGAAGACTCTGTCTGTGTCTTTTGTTCATGAGGCACATAAGCTAATAGACCCAGGGCTATGAAATTTGGTCCATAGGTGCATCTAGACAAGAGCCAATGCACCTTGAAGCGATTTTTTCGAAATTTGAATGAGGTTTATTTTTTTTATTTTTTATTTATTGTTTTTGATGAAATCGCATCATTTTGAGACATAATGGGCGACAGAAAAGCGATATTTTAGTCTATACATTCCATTTTCACATCGTCATGAAAATAGGCACTTAGCTATCATGCGAACTTAAAATAAATTTCGTATTTCAATAAACCAATTAAATACAAAATTATTTAGCAAAGTGAGGTTAACAGCTTTTCAATGGGATATTTTTTAAGTGATTTAAAAAAGTGTACTGTTTATTTTCCTTTGATTTTTGGACATGTTAAACGTTTATTCTTCAGACTCCTTTTACAAAAAGAATTTTTGAAAAATAATATTTTGTAATTTAAAAAAAAAATTTTAAATAAAGCTTCCGATTACACTTCTCACATCACGATCTTCTTATTCTGACGTGCATGTGTCGAGGCACATCAGAAATAATTTCCTTTTTTTAAAACTCTCTCTTTATTAGTCAGTGGCAAAGAGGTTTGTATATTTTGCATTATGTCATCCATAAAGCACAATTTTGATTGGTTATTGCTTTCTGATGATAGTTTCATTCTTTTAGAAATGTGGTTTTGGCAACAGTTTTTGATTCAATGCTGTGTATAGAGGACTGCTGACTGTTTTCTCTTGAAAATATGAGATAAAACATTATTAATTATACTTTCCTTTTCAGAATTTTTTTTTTTTTTTTTTTGTTTCTTTTATGTTATTGATTGCGTATTTCACTGTTTTTAAGATATTGAAAAGTTCTGTATGTTTTTTTAGAAAACAAAGTTCTTAATTTTCTTTATACCATTCGAATTCTTAAGATTTTGCAACAGGAAGTTGGTTAATTCATTTATTAGAATAATTAATATTTGTATTAAAGGATATTGCTTATTTAACTGTAATTTTTTTATATTATGTTTTAATTATATAAAATGTTTTGCATGATTTTTGTTTTTTAGGAAACAAACTTCCTTTATACCAGAGGTTCTCAACCGGTGGTACACAAGAGAAAAATAGATGGTATGCAAAGAAGCAAAGTATTTTTAATTATTAAATTCATAAATTAAAACTCCAACATCCTGGCAGAGTTTTTCCTCTAAAATTCATAAATTTATGCTATCTGAGCTTTGTTCAAGGTCAATAGCCACTTATAGACTTAAGCAAGAGGTGAACATTTTGTCTGCACAGCAGTTTTCGTGGTTCTTCCATGTTGTACATTTCACAAATATTCTTTTAGCCATAGACATAACAAAATGTGCCATAAATGATGTTTTTTAAAAGGAATAATAGACATGGATGCAGTATTTAATAGGAAATAAAAATAAGTTCCTATAAAAAAGATAATGGTATCTCATTAATTCTCTTAGAGTTGATTGATTTATTAGCACATCAGCACTTTATTGGCCATTTCCAGGCTCATATTACTTCATTTTCAATCAGAATAATTTTTTACATCGGTTTGCTGTCTCTAACGGTAGGTATCTTGTCATGTTCTTGCTTTGCATTCCTTATTTTTCTAAGCGATTTGAGAATATCGTCATCTGTTTCTGGAGAACTCGTAATATATTGTGCATTTATATATTTGTGAAAAAATAATAAAATAAACCTAGATTTTCAAAATGGAAAAATGGCTAAGATTGACTGGGTGAAAAAGTGACGATTGACAGGTGATGGATCCAGGACAATTTACTAGTACTAAGAATATTGAAAAGAAAAGAAAAATTGTTTTTAGAAAATATAATGAAAGTTACTTATCATTTGGATTTGCTTGGAATGGAACCTCAACCTCAGTGAGCTGTTTGTGGTGAACTATTATCCAATCAAAGTATGAAACCATCGTTTCTTAAAAGACATCTTGAATCTAAGCATGCTAATTTAAAAGATAAATCTGAAGAATATTTTAAGAGGAAATAATTGAGTTCAAAAATAGTCGACAAGTAATGCAAGGTTTTTGTTACTTCAAGTGAAAAAACTTTAGAAGCTAGTTACCTGGTAAGCCTAAGAATTGCTAAGACTGGGCAGGCTCACACTATTGAAGAAAACTTTATATTGTTAGCAGGTAAAGATACAGTTTTAACATTATTAAATTAAAAAGCGACTCATGAACTTAATAATATTTTGTTATCAAATGATACAGTAAGTCGACATATTCATGAAATGGCAAATTCCATAAAAGTGAGTATTTCGCTTTGCAGTTGGATGAAAGTACTGATAAAACAACCTTTGTTCAATTATTAGTTTACATACATTTCGAAGAAGATAAAAGAATTGCTGAAGGATATTTATTTTTTGAATCTCTTCATGATAGAGCAAGTGCAAGTGAAATTTTCAAAGTAATTGACAATTTTATGTCTGAGAATGATATTCCTTGGAATAAGTGCATTACCGCATGCAGTGATGGAGCTCGGGCTTTTAAGAGGAAAATATTCCGGAGTGATTTCTCAAATAAAAAAAGTCGCACCTGAAACTAAATTTACTCACTGCTCCATACATCGTGAAGCTTTAGTAGCCAAAACAATTCCTGAGAGCCTGAAAATCGTTTTAAATCAAGCTGAAAAAATTGTTAATTTTATTAAAAGCCAAGCTTTAAATTCAAGAATATTTTACGGTTTTATGCCAAGAGATGGGCAGTGAACATGAAACGCTTTTGTTATATTCCAAAGTAAGGTGGTTATCCAGAGGCAAAGTTTTAAATTGTCGTTTTGAACTTTGATGAGAAATTCAAATTTTCCTCTGTGATTCAAAATCTGAATTGCAAAAATGTTTATTTAGTGAATTATGGTTGGCAAGTTTATCATATTTAGCTGGTATTTGTGGAAGGTTAAATGAATCAAATTTAGGATTACAAAGACAAATGTTAATTTGTTAAATATAAAATAAAGGCAATGATAAAAAAAAAAAAAAAAAAAAAAGATCGAGCTAATAATCAAAAAATTGGATAATAATATATTAAGCCTTTTTCCACTTTTAGAAAGTTTTTAACCAAAAATAATTTGAAAATAAAGGAAGAATTAGCATTTGATATTAAAAATCATTGTTTTTCATTGATAAATAATTTAAACATGTATTTCTCAAGGATTAGGGAAAAGAAATTTGGATTAGAAATCTGTTTTGTTCAAATATACCTGAAATTTTATCTTGTGAGGAAAAAGAACAAGTGATAGAAATTTCCTTTGATCGAACTCTAACTGACGATTTCAAAAGTAACATACGTGTTAACTTTTGACTGAACAAAAAATAAATAAATTAATTAATAAAATAAAATAATTCAAAGGGATTTCAAATAGAGCTATTAAATTTTTACTGCTTTTCTGCACAGCTTATTTGTGTGAACAAAGATTTTCTTCCATGTTATATTTAAAAAATAAGTACAGAACAAAATTAAATGTGGATTCTAATTTACTCTTAAAATTAAATGAAATAAGACCAGACATAAAGAAATTGATTTCTCTTAACCCTCTGAGTGGCACGGGTTTTTGGATCTGTCATGAAGACCTGTATTCAAAAACACTTTATTAGCTGAATTTGTATATTTACTTACTTTAGGCACTATTTTCATCAACTTACATTTATTAACATAATATTTATATTATTAAATAAAGTAAGAAAGCAAAATATCATAAATTATAAGCTAATATATAACAAATGACAAAAAATCTCATGACCGGATAAAGCCAGCCATAACGCTCAGGGTATTAAACAAGCCTGAACTTCGCACTAATACTCTGATACTTTTGTCGGTATATTGGCTTAGAGCAGGGGTCTCCAAACTACGGCCCGAGGGCCACATCCGGCCCGCGGACAGATTTTGTCCGGCCCGCGGAGAGCTAGCATACTTGAAAACTCCTTTTAGAGAACATATTTTTTATAGCAAATTAAATTTAGTTTACTGAAGTATTCTAATTTTATGTTGAATAATTATTAATATGACATCTACATTGATATGGTCATGGGCTAACTACTCATAACATTGTTGTAGGCTTATTGTTATTGTTTTTGTGATAAGTTGGATAAAGAAACACAGAATTGTAATGAGTGAAAACATGTATAATATGCAGAAAATTTAACTTCAGTATATAATAACTAACAAATTATTGAAATGAATCCAACTAACATTTTATACATTTTAAATAAAAACATAACTTATAACAAGCATAATGACATATGAAATACTAATGAGATTTATGTAATTGAGCCTTTCCACTGACAATAGTTTGTAGTTGTGGACTCATTTTACTTGTACCAATTATTAAATGAGATTTAAGATGCTCATCAGTTAATTTAGATCTGTAAACATTTTTTGTGTACTTCATTTTGGAGAAGGTCTTCTCACACAATTAAGTAGTACCAAAAACAGAAAACAGCCCACGAGCAAATTTATGCAAATTATCAAATTGTGTCAGTGGAAGACTTATAAAATTCCAACAAAGATGAGTTTTGATATTTGTTCCTAATTATATCACTGCACTGTAGATCAATCATTTCCATTTGAAGTTC